CTGTGCCCCCTTGCCCCCCCCTCGCCCACCGGACCGGCCGTTGACTCCTCGCCAGCGCGGCCCGCGTTCCAGACGCTCTCTGCAGCGCGCGGCGTTACCGTTACCGACTTACGTTTTCAAACGGAGTCGGCGGGGTGAGTGAGACCGAGAAGGGCGAACCGAGTCTTGCTGCTACTGGAATTCGCTGGGAAGGGTTTAATGGTTATGTTTGATTCATTTAATCGGGTCGAATTAGGTTCGTCCAAGTTTTTACGTCGGAATCACTGTTTACCATTCGATTGAAGATGTAAGGGATCTGAGAGGTACGCCTGGTAGCTAGGCAATATCTTGAGATGGATTGCAGCGGTCATGGGCGGGAGGCCTACCCACACCCACCCAAGGTTTGGCAGGCGCCCGACTCATAGTGACGGTATGTTTCTTGCAAACCGAGGGGTCCCTCACTTCCAAAATAGGTGTTGGGGTGGCTGGGCGTATTTGAAGGTAATCCACTCAGTAAAATCCTGTAGCAAATTACAGGAAAAGTACAGCATTTCCGTACAGGTTGTGGTACCGGATTCGCGTACGTACTGTAGTGCTCACAAGGCTCCATGCTAAAAATTCCTGTACCCCATACTCAAAACACCATACTTTTAGCAAGTACAGGAAGACCGTGAAACAAGCTGACCAATAAAGCACTGTTTAACTCCTGTGCTTTTTTCACACAGGCTGCTCCGAATCCTTTGAACGCTACAAACCCCATTCCTCGGAATACGAACTCTTCTGTTTGTAAGGAACTCCGCGGTTTTATGTGTGGGTGTGGGTGGGGGGAGGGCATGTTGAGTGTACTCGAGCGGATGGACACTAAGTTTGTCGCGCAGCGTGGGAGTGCGTGCGAGTCACTTTCTCGTCGCGAATTCGTCCCGAATGGGCCAAGGCTGCGCTCGGTCGGACCGACAAAGCTAGACGGCTAATTCTTATTCGTGACTTTAATTGTTGATGTAGCCGGTGCGGCCTTCGTTTGCCAAACCCTCTTGGCCCACACCGGAACCTCACACGCGCCGGCGACCGCTGATACAGAAAGCAACATTCCGAGTGAATGGCATCGGCCCATAGTGATTCCGTACAAACTACTGTATAACACAACGTCCTCGTGATGACGTTGGGTCGCTTGCTGGTGAGTTTGCACCCTATCGCGCATAAACACCTACTTGGTTACATTGTCTTCCTCCCCGGTGGAAAACTAGAAATCACAACAGCAATCCAGAACATTGTCTTCCTGAATAATGGAATCAATTATTTTCGTTATTGTATGAAGGAGTACTAGGCACTTGTCCCGGCCCAGAACTTTCCTTTTCCTCTTAGGCTCCAATCGTCCGCCGACGGTAAAACTGGCGCGTTCCAAACCGTTGAACTCGTTTTCGCTCCGTCGCGGGCGATTAGAATTGATTTCTGTGCATGAGTCCGAACACATCGCCACGCCCCTTCCCCTTGGGTCCGCCCGCTCGGTAGCAAGGCGGGAGAAAGCCAAGCTGCAGCCCAGCGCCCCCGAAACCTTTACAGGACCTTCACTATAGACGAACATCCGCACTGATCACATCACAGAAAGCAGTCCCCTCGCCTGTCACAGCCAGCAGCTGTGGGGGGGGGGGCGGACGGTGGTTGAGTTTGAGAGTGTAGTTGTTTAATATAACGCAAAAGTATTTGTATGTTTCGGTTTTTTGCCTGTGCTTCGTTTATCAAAGGGAAAATATGATCGCATGGAAAACCTTACCGCCAATTTAAACGTCTACTCGAAGCAAGACACTAATTTTTCTGTTGGTACTCACTCAATGCTTGAGCGAGTATGTATCATGCGGTGAGATTCTCCCCCCCCCCCCTCTCCCTCTCCCGTCCTCCTCACACATACACACACACACACACTCAGTGTAACGGTACGGGATGCCACGGCTCGTTGTTACGTGTGTTTGGGCGATGCGTTCCCGATCCAGGAGGAGACATGTTGCCCCAGCCGGGGCTCCTGTTGCCTGCAAAGGGATGTGCTCGAAAACATTTGCCCTTGCAATGTCATGGACGATCGACTTGTTTGCTGCATCGTCGTTGGAGGGGGGTGGGGCTAAGTCTAGAACTTAAGATATGTTCAAGTGCATGTCACGTCGTATCTTCCCAGCTCTTATTTCTTCTCTCGCTCCCTCTCTAACGCGGCACTGCCCCGGTGTGTGTTCCAGGGTGTTTCCAGGAAGCGCGGGACTCGGAGTGCAGCGAGCTCGGACGGGACACGGGACGGCGGCCGCAGCGGAAGGGGCCCTAGCGTCCCACCATGATCCCAAGATCCCTCTCCTAGGGCCTCCAGCACGTAAGTGGGACCTCCAGGTGGGCCGTGGCGGCCGCGGCAGACCGCAGCAGCGGCAAGTAGGCACAACACGAGAAGTACGGAGCCGGCTCGGCACAGCCCCCCCTCCCCCCCCTCACTTACTTTGGTCCAGTCTTGTATTCCTTCCACAAAATGGCGGATTGGCGCGTCCTGAGGGAATACCGTTACAATACCTCTCGGTCCTTTAAGACCCCCCCCCCCCTCGCCACGACGCCGCGTCGTCCGTGGTCGGTAACGACGCGGCATCGCGTCTTGTAAACGTCCAGCCTTTTATCCTACCGCGCAACCAGAGAGAGGCACACGCTCTCGCCATTTCCATCCACGTTTTATTATATTTATAGGTTTATAGG